ATACAATTATATTATTCTTTCATTGCATGTAAGTGTCTTGTAATATTAATGGAACCCCCTTGGTAAATAAATTTTTACAAGATAAGGTTCACAAATGTGGGTGTATAAAATGCACGAAGGACCCAATCTGTGAATTTCAACAGAGAAAACTCATACATATAAAGCTCCTTAGTTAGCGCACGAATTTTGTAACATTACAAATACTGATGAGTTGTGTAATTTAGACAGGAACGTCATTAACAAAGTTTTATTAAAATATGGAAAAAAGAGAGCCTCATTAAATGATTTTTAAGAAAAGCGTTGGCAATCATATAGCAAAAAAGCAATGCTTTTATCACCTAAATGAATTAGCATGGTGCTTAAAAAGGATTGTTTGTTGAAATATATTTCTTCTAGTTGATATAATATCTAAAGGAGGGAACTAGTAATAATGTGTATAATATTAAACTCAGTTGGTCGACTTTAGTTTATATTATATATAAAAGGAAAGAAAAGTGCAGTTAATCAGTTATAACTTCCATAATGTTGATGCATGTACTTTTTAAATATTAATTGTTTTCTTCAGTTTAAACGTGCTGTCGTTAAAAAAAGAATAAAACTTCATTTGATATGTAAGGTATATAAATGTAGAAAACTGCATACTAGATGCACATTGCACAGTATTCAATGTAAATATTATTCCTCCAAGGTGATACAGAGTTGATAAACTTCTGTACTTTATTGATTTCGAATATCAACTAATAGTTCTATTAATCAAAACATCTCATTTTAATTGCAAGTACAAGTAAATAATCTGTATTTAATATGAATGGCAAAATATTCAATGAATGGATCAAGTGGGTACGCATGTTTGCCGTGACACATGGTGAATTTCGCATAACAACTATACTGGTTGGAAGCTGATATTGTTATTATTGACGCATAAGTAAATGAACAATAGGACTTAGAAAAAGCACCAACTGAAAAGCATATAACAGCAACTGCAATATATCATTTTGTTTGTTTGTTTGAGGATTTTTATTGCTGATACATTTGATTTCACGCGTACACAATAATTCCCATTTTTATAGTGATTTTTATATAAATTCTTCCTGTCAATAATTCAACAATTTCACAAAAACTTTTATTCTCACAATGTTTGTTAACATGATGTTTGTTTTCCAAGTTCAAATTTAAATCAAGGTTGAACCAGTTAATCAATATTCTACCCTTCTACATAATAATTATGTTAATGAATCAAGCAATTTCTTGGTGAATTTTGTTTTTTAATTCTTAACGTTTTTTTATGAGTCTTTATTATGTTTCACATTTAAACGATCTTTAAAAATGTCCTTACTTTTATAAATCTATTTTTCTTACCTATAATCGTGATCACTTTATATATATATATTATTTTTTACTATATTACGTAGACAAAATGTTAAAAAAAAATTTAACATTTTCTTCTAGCGGCGAAAAGTAAATGCAAAGGAAGAATACCGTCTTTGTTAAAAAGTTTAACATCAACCCAATATACGTATCAACATTAATTAATTGAGATATATTTTCGTGCAATTTCTAAGCTTTTGACTATCCTTCAAAATAATGGTATTGTACAAATGCTTGAAAAATATCAAAATAACAAGTAGTAAATATAATTAATAAAAGTCATTTCGTAACTTTCAGAGTTAATAGTCTCAAGAAAAAATTCTTTTTCGAAGTTCGAGAAACAGTACGCTTTATTTAAGAGTTTTGACATAATTATGGCCTGATAACGGTTTTTTCATTTGTATAAAACGATGAACTTTCCGAGAAATTTTAATTTCAGTCATTATTGCCGCCAGTCATGTTAGAGTTGAGCAAAATTCTCTTGAACCATAATCTATTACAAAACACGAACATTAATATTCTTACAAAACAATAAAATACCCATTAGGCAATGAAATTGTAACAATTTGTCATTTGAACAAAGAATTTTGCCTCCGGTGATATCATTTGCACAATACATGACAAACAAAGAAAACATTTAATGTTTCGAACAAACAGAGTATATAGTGGGTGAGAAGATGAAAGTCAACATAAGTTTACATATTGCCGTAATTCCTCTCAATTTTATAGTATACTTAAATCGTATGAAACGACAAAAAGGTGCGTAGCCAATAGAAATGTCTGTAAATGTCTATTAAAAATCAATATAAAATTAGAAAACCAGCATAAACTACATATTGACATGAAATTAGTTTTAAGTCATAAGCAAAAAATAGAAAATACATTTTTTTATATAAAAATATTAAAATGAAAAGTTATAATCTACAAAATTAATAAAGTATTTTGGAATTCATGCCATCAGGAATAATTGTGCCTAGCTTATACATCCATGTAGTTTCTTTTAATTATCTTTGCCAATTATTCTTTACTTTATCAATTGGCATGAATGAAAATCTTTGATAGAATGCCCTTCAGAATTAAAATGTTCAGAAACATTGGTAATAGTGACAGGAAAGTGTTTAATATCAAATTTGTGACTATTCATTCTTTGACTACATTTTTGCTGTTTACAAATCTTCATTCTAATATTTAGTTTTATAAAAAAAATTGTATTTTCTTTTTTTTTGCTTATGACTTAAAACTAATTGCATGTCAATATGAAGTTTATGATGGTTTTCTCATTTTATATTGCTTTTTATTGCATCTTTACCACTGTTTTGTATCTTTTATTAAGATCCTACATTTTACATTTATACGCCAAATTATGTATTATATTTTGACGTCAATGTCACTGACGTCATATGACGTTGACGTCATTTCGTGTTAACAAAGTATAACTGATGAAGACTTTTGGGTCGAAACGTTGTATATTTTACAAATAAAATAGTTACATTTTTAAATTGAAACTGGAGTTGATTTCTATATTCAAACTTACATGTAAATGTCTATTGCAATTTACCCGTAACGTTCATTTTATAGACAGAGTGGAGCAGACATTTTACATTTTAGGCAGATTTATTTCTTATCAATTCTTTGTCTATCACAATTATGGCAATCATTTGAAAACATACAGTCATCAATGAAAAAGATGAGCATTATATAACTTTAACAGTATTAACTAGGTCTTAAAATAAAATTGAAACGTTCGTGAAGTTCATTTTGAATATTAGAAACATTGTAGATAGCTGATTAAGATTAGGGGCAAATACGTTTACTATCATAGTATGAAAAATACTTTCGTAAAAAACTATATAATTAACCTCCGTTTAAATAACGATCAAAATTTTGTTTTAATTTGTGCTGAAATCTGATGTGATGTTTAGAACATGACAGTAACCTTAGTTCATTAAGTCTATTGGATATTCTACCATTTATGTGTTAGTTGTAATCAAGCATGAATTTAAAACCAACGAACACCTCTGAGGGAAATTGGATATCAGATGTTGTCATTGTAATCACATTTTGTCGCGTCATGCGTGTCATGACAGGAAGCTGTCCTATTTCTTTTGCATTTGACGACATTTTACTGAGCACAACCAAGTCTTGAACCTAAACATATTGCTTGTGATAACAAAAATGTTATGAGCATTGCATTTGTTTTCGTCCTGTCTAACATTATATTGTTGTACTCAGGTTTTACTTTTCTAGAAGATAAGTAAATGAAAATTAATGCATAAAGTATTCATATGTGTGTCGTGGCTAAACATCATGAGGAAACAAATGTGTCTGCTTTTCTAAAGTATCAAGGGGAAATGATAATTTCATACAATATTAGCTATCTAAAGAGAACCAAAAGATGATTGATGCATTATTATAGCATCAAGAAAACTGAGTGACGCGAACAAACATCATGCCAAAAGTGTTATGTAAAAAATGAATAATTGCAAACTAATGTGAATGAAGTGTCGTCGTCTTCAGTGTATGGTACAGTTACCTAATTAGATTTTAAATCTTGCTTTTTTGCCTGTGATCATAAAATAATACAACAAGATATGTTCGTTTCTTTTTTAATAATCATCGAAAAAGAGAATGAAATTTCATCAGGCATGTTACTAAACAATTCCATTTGTATTCTTGGAAGCACTTACCGAACTTGCTGTCATAAATTGGCTGGTTATTTAGTTATATTTTATTTATCTTTAAACTATCGTGCAGTGTACCAACTTTGACCTTTATATATGCTTCAGATTCATATGTTGTTAAATACAAACAATAATTGTTTATTCTCGCGAATTCAATACTGTTTTATTCATCTTTTATTTCAATGTCTTGTCTTTAAATATTCATGATCACCTAGATGTTTTTGAAATTTAAAAAGAAAATTTGATTTTTAAGTCTTATTTGTAGTTGGATAAAAACTTGCTTAAGCATTTAAGCCGAAAAGTATTGCTTTCTGAAGTAGTTAAATTTTGTTTTTAAAATATGTATTAATGTATTGAAGACAGCATTTTCTAAATGTTTCACACATACATTTGGTAATGACCCTGACAGTAAAAAAACACAAACTATAGATTATAATTCCCCTCTGATCATGTTCAACAGTTTATTTATAGTTTTCTTATAAAAGTTTAGTACAGCGTTAGTATCAGCCGAGTGGTAACGGTTTCACAGAATTTACGTTAGATTTTAGTTGCATACTCTAGAACATTCTTTAAAACGACTTAATATGCACCTGCGTGCATATGTTGTAGATACTGTTATAATATTATAAAATCTAAGACTTGTTTATTTATTTATCTATTGACTTATTTATTCATTAATTGATTTATAATGTGCAATTTTATTTCACTTGGTTCAAAAGAATTAATTTTATTAGCATTTTATTAGCATAATTTAACGAAGGTGAAATATCATATTGGTCTGATATTGCACACGTCAATTTTATTTCACTTTTATTCAAGTTGAAACGAAGGCAACTTATATCGGTGGATTAGTTATACAACGTAAGGCAAAACCCGATATACAGATGCATCGATAATTGTTTAAATAGTAACAAACGCGAACTAGACAAAAACCATACTAGAATCAATTTCGGACGAAGAAGGAACTATCTCTCTTCTACTACTGTATGATCATGTGGCTAGAGTGAATGATCAGATATTTGCTATCACTTCCACTGATTGGATGATATCTATAGAGTAGCGTTAACAATCACGTAGCGAATGCGACGGTAACGGATATATTAATTGTAAATCTAAGTAAAACTGGAATATGTTTCAGTGGATATTTTGAAATTTAGTACGATATTTATATAAATTTTCTGTGTATAAATTTGATATGAATATAACATTTATACAATAAAGCGTGACTTTAAATTATTCAACTGGTGATATTCAAATAATTATGAATGATGGAACATTTTATGAGAAAAGTGTAATATATAAAGAGTAGACTTTGTTAAAGAGATATTATTGTTTTTATAAAAAAAAACGTTCATTTCTGGAAAAATATACGCAATAATTGATTTCAATATACCACGTTATTTACAAAACAAAATGTAGATACTAACATTTATCAAAATGCTAACATTTTGTGGGAAAATTCTGACAAGTATAATAAAGATAAATGCAGAATAATAGTGATTGTTGAATGCGTTGATTGACATGGACTATCAAAATAACTTTTGAATTCTTAGACAAAATGATGATTTCCAACATTTAATCGTCTGTTTACAATATGAATGCGGCAATCAATAAAAGAGCGGAATTGTACGACTGGATTATCTGTTACGTTTATTTACCTTTACACGTGATATATACCTTTAACAAATCAAGCTTAAGTTGTTTAAGTCACCTGCGAATAAAACAAACCTTGTTTGTTTGCTTGATATGAATAGCTAAAATTGTGTAAGACATGTATATCATTTAAGCAATTTGTTGCTGTTCTGATTTTTAATAAGGAAAATCGTGTGTCATATTTGCTTAAATTTGAAACAGAGCTTACTTATATTTTAAGTTAGTAATTTTTTAAACGGATATTAACTGACAATATTATAAGTTATTTACTCATTATTTTTAAATGATTAACAGGAAATCTCATTTTTTGCTTATTATTTTATCTGATAAAAAGCATTATTTTCACAACTTTATAAAGTTTAGGGGGAAATGCAAAGAACACCGTTTGCGGAAATCAAAAACCAATTGACTTTTAAAGTGTAAATAAGAGTGGAAATAATTTTGTACTTTTCTTCATTTTGGATAACTATTGAAACAGTTCATGAGCATGAACATAAACTATTTGTAAAAAAAGGATATAAATGAAGGAGCCAGCTATCATGGATTATTGTGGTGGTTATATATCTTTACAGAAGAATTGGCTTGTTGTTGTGATTCTTATTTCAACTTCCAAATTAGGTAAGGTTTACATATTATTGTATATTCTTGTACATTGTTGTACTAACCCTACTGAGACTGTTTGCAATCACAACTTTATATGTACACAAGAAATTAGCTTTATTATCAGATCATTAAACAGGTACAGCTAGCATTTTTAATGAATACAAAACTCCGAAATGATTTTTACAAGTAAGAGCAGATTTACCTCGACCAAGAATCTTATTTTAAAGATACTTCTTGTTTAACTTTTATAATAGAAATAATATCCGAGAAGGCATCGACAGCTTTTTTTCATAGTACGGACATTAATATTCTTATAAAACAAAAACATTCTGATAGAAGCGCCGCAGAATTTAATCACTCCCTCCTTTATTGCCTGGATATCTAATCATTTGCTATTTGAATGAAGAATTGAACTTCCGATTGCGCTTTTCACACTTCATACGACATAGCAAATGCAGGATAAAGATTTTTTTGCTACCCAAAACGAATATTCTTGAATTAAACCGAACAAATATCCTCCTTTAAAATGATTTGATATTTTCAAGCACATTTCGTAAAAAATGTATTTTATTCCGATTTATATTGATATTACGGTATTCAATCATACCAGAAAAAGACACAATGCAGTGAAATGCAATACAGAGTTATAATTATGTAAAAAGTCTTCAAACGTGAAATTGGTTTAAATTGAGGCATACAAACACTTAAAACTGCTGAGTCGGCGTTAAAACGTTGATTGTGACAAAACACTCAAGCAATACATTTTTGATGGTGGAAGCCTTAAGATGAGTAGCATTGTATTTGAATAAGAAGGTTGAAGCCAAACATTTTTGTACGCTTGTAGTTATTTTGGTACCACCAGAACTGAGAAATCATTTGCGTTTAAAGATATTAATACACTAAATGCATATTACTTTTTTCAACTAATGAAAGTATTATTGTGCATAATACAATTTACAATTTTATAATTTATATTATCATACTTTTTATGCTGAATTTCACTAGGGTTTGTTATGTCAATATGATAAAGCGGAAATTCGTGACTAAATAGAATACTAATACAAATTATATTTAAAAGATTATATTATGATTTATATCAAGAGTGATAACTTAAATATTTTCCTGAAAAGGGATTCCATTGAGTTTTTTAGACATGATGGGTGTTGAAATATTTTTTTATATTTGTACAATCCGATGTAGGTTTGGATCAGTAACTTCAGTGCAAATTTTAAAATCATTCCTTCACCCCGTTTTTCCAATATAATACTTTTCATTGTGCAAAATGTAATGTTTTTCATTCAAATCGGGCTAGGTAAGAACTACACAAAAATCGATATTCAATTCAATTTCGATTTCAATTTCTTTTCCTTATCATGTCCAGACTTTTTCCAATTTCAGTTCTTCGCATGATCGTTGTAAGAATTTGATTTTTTTTATGTTTCAAATGAAAGAAATGAAGTGTAAACATTTATGAGACAACTCCAATAAATCAATTAGTCTTCGCGTTTACTTATTAATTATCTCTTTTGTCTTTTGTTTTTAAAAACATGTAAATCGAGGTTTTCATGTTTCATCTGTCTTTGCAGATTACGAAAAAAATAAGTAAAATAAGCTTTTTGAAAAGGTTCAATTGTCCGTGTTTAATTTCCTTCAAGAGACAATAAAAATGCCGTTAATTAATGTAGGTTTGTTAATTGTGCTGCCCAATGATAAATTATATTTTAATTTTAAATTAGCTGAGTCAAATGTCATTGCCGAATCATGATATAATAGGGATTACGATGTGGTTATAGATTATTTAGAAATAGTGTGAAAATTCATAGAAAAGAGAAAAAACGTAACTGTTGTTAAATTATAGAATATTTGTATTACTGATATTATTTATGTTCATATTATAAAGACATAATATTTTTTTTATTAAATTTTATTAAAAGAAACATGCTTTAACCAAACGCTGCATAATTATGGAAAGTCAAAGGAAACAATGAAATATATCACAAAATGTAATAAAACTTGAAAATGTCTTTTTATCCAACATTTTAAAGTTGTTGTAATCATAACAGCTCTGTAAAAGAATTGTAGTAAAAATTAGTAACAATTGAAATCGTTATCGTGTATCAAAATGTGTCAGTTAGCTAGTAGTGTTTCAAACGTTTTTATTACGAATTGTTCTCTGCATTTTCTAAATGTAATTTCTATACTTGAATGGTTTGATTTTTATGGATAAAATAAATGTCTCATTTGGTTTTCCAGTCCTTGTATTGATGTGTAATATCAATTCAAAGCTAAATCGTTTGTACTGTTTGAATCTTCGTCCTCTTTTCTGAAATCTTTTGAGTCTTTATTCGAAGGTTCCCTGCAACTACTAAATACCGGGGTATATTAAGTTAATTGTGACGCATGATCAAGGCTCTTTATTTCTTTAGTTTATATTCTTTTCTTTACTACCATATTCTGCGTAATTATTTAAAATCAAAATTAGTGGTTAAATGAGTAAAGAAATGTTTAAACTTGTTTGATACCAAATTGCATAATTTTATATTCTACACATATCTTGTTTTATTTTATTGTGTTCTTAAAACTAGATTCGTATCATCTTATATTCTATCTCAATCTTGTTAATTTGAATTCATTAATTATAATGAAGTAAGTTCGAATAAAACTAGCGTTTGTGATACAAAAAAATTATTAAAGATCCTATATTACAACCAAACAAATGTCAAATAATCCCCCACATAAGCTAGGATGTTTTCATAAAACAATATAATGTAGTGTTTAAACACCAGCTTAATAAATTATTCTGTTTTGCATCGATGTGGTAATTTAGATTATAAGTGTGGAGCAGTGAAAAAACGTGTGTTAAGGTATAAGGCATCTAACGGTATTGACATTTTGTGAGCGCATTTACAGGGGTCTCTCAATTTCGCAGATACTTTTATAATGAAATTATGTAAGTGATTTCCTTGACAATGATTTAAACCACACATATTAGAAAATAACTTGAGTTTTACAAACGAGAATTTGGCTTGTCTTTTTGACTTGCATTCATTTTAAAATGTGTATTACCTTATTATTTTAAATTCATTCACAATAGACCTCTTGATTAAAACGTAACAATGTCACTTGAGCGAAGGAGACCGTTTTCCGGAAAATCAGGAATTGAACGCAGTAATTGTACGTTTTTATATTGTGTTTTATCGAAGTAACCCTTTAAGGTTTTATTATTTTGAGAATTCATATAAATGTTGCTGAATAAACTATATTCAAAATTGACAATTTAGAACAAATCGCCACAGTAAAAGAGAAATCAAGACGTATGCCTTGGTTTCGTATACATGCAATTTCAACTTATTATCTTGTTTAGCAATATTATAATGAATGATACACCAGTAGTCTATCTTGAGCAAAGTTAATACTACATTATTTACATACTTGGTGTGGGAACATGATTTGTATAATGAGATTTAGTGTAACTAAATTATAAATGGGTGCCTCGTTTATTTCGGATTTCTTTTTCATTCCTTGCACGAGCAAAAATTATTATTTGGATCTCAATTTGTTTTATTTTTATACTTACAAGTTTCAAGTATTATCCGAGGGAGGTTGTACTTGAACAAATTCTTGTAAGATATCAAAACAATGGAAGGAAAACATTCACAATAAATGAAGTTAAATTTAATTGAAAATAAAACCTACGCAATTTTCAGGCATTGTACCTGCAAAGTGTCTTACTTGACAAAAGGAATGCATAACATTTAAAGCACAAGAAATTAAAAGGAAAGTACTGGTACGTGTGCTAAAGCCTACGGTTTCTATTTTTGTAAATATGCAAACGGCGCATTTAGTATTTTCATTTTTGTATGCAAGATCATTAAATCAAATTATTATGTTTTAGTGCAGTTGTTTACAACAAAGATAGAGTAAGTTTGGTTAGAACAGTTTACCTGCATGGAATAATTAAATTTAAAACAAGAAAAACCATGGTATCGCTAAACCCCACTCTTTGTATTAATATATTCTGTGAGTTTCATTAACTGAAGGTACAAACGTTATTACATTAAGACATACAAAATCTAGTGCTTTATCTATTACTTAATATAGTTAACAGTCCATTATTCACTACCTGTTTCCTGCAAGCCAAAGAATTATTTTAGAAAGTATATAAATTATGATTTCAGGCAGATATTGGTTTCAGTGCATTTGTTCAAAACCTGATAATTCAAATATTACCTCCTTGTGTACTCAAACGTATATGTTCAGACATTTTAATACGAAAAGAGCAGCTTATTTTGTATTCGGTAGATGGACTTAAATGGGAACTTTTCAATGTACAGTAACTATAAAGTCACCAATAATTATTTGCTTCAGGCAGTATTTTATGTTATTAATGTTTCGAAGTCGAGTATGTAGTAAATGTAGTAATTTAAAATAAGAATATATCTTGATGGTTTGAATTTATGTGAATATTCGATTATCGTGTCTTTGTGTCTGTGTAATACCATTTTAAGTTAATGGACTACTGTTGTGTAATTCCTTTTGTATCTTGTAACGGCCCCAAAAGTGATTTGTTTACCGAGCTCTTTTTTGCTAAAATTGCGCATGTGTTTCAAGCAATCTGTGAATTATTATGTAAATGCTTGAATGATGAAATATTTGTTTGTGATGCTAATTGCATTAGGTTTTAATCCTTTGTCGATCCGTGGCTTTCGCGATCTTAATTTTCATATTCTACTACAATATGTATACTTTTAAAAGATTATATTTTAACAATTAAAACAATTAAACCAACAGTAAATGGTCTGCATAATATGTTGTTCAATTTGACTATCTGTATCAAACTAGGAAAGTGTTACCATAAAGTATTTCCCCTATCTAATCAAATCTAAGCACTACATTATATGTATTCAAACTATGCTGAGTCTGTTATCATTGTTTCCGAAATTTACATGCATGTAACCGAAACCTCATAGAATTATATTGTATTCAAATTATCTAAAACCGATGCATAATGAACT